TTTTTTTTTGTTACAAATAGAGTTCAAGATAATTGGCATTTGATGATTTATTTCTTTGTTTTTTCTCGTACTTTCCGAAGTCTTGTCCATGAGGAATGGACATTTATCATTTAAAGGCGGCTAGGGGCTCTAGTGTCATTCTAATTTGGTATTGCCTTTTATTAAGGTAATTTTATTCTTGGTCTTACTTTACTATATCTGGACAATGAGTTTCAGAATTTGCTTCTTTTTACTGATTAGGAGGGAATTTTGTACTCGCCATCTGAAAACTTGTGAGTTTAGTGTTTGATGGTCTTCGTTATTTAAGCTTTTTTGTTGCGACCACTTATTCATCGGCTGATGAGTCGTTTTAACAGTTATGTAGTTATTTTACAACTTTGATGTTATATATTTGACCAGTTGAATTTTGTGCACAATGTCTTAATGGGTGAGGAGTATACCGTTCTCTGGATTATGTTTTGGAAGATAAAATGAAAGAATTTGTGATTGCTGCCGGTCTATTTAAAGTCATAATTTCGAGATTTGGAAAACCTTCGTTCAGTGTCAAGATTTTGAGGGTTATGTAAAAATTTCTTTTTGGGACAGTTAATCCGTACGTATGATTGTCAGAATGACTCATGCTTGCTTCTTCTATATTTTATTATATTCTGTTTTATGGTCACATGACAGGTTTATAGAAATTAATTGGAAAATGAGTTTTTTTTTTTTTGATGCATTTTTTCTTTGAGTGGACTTTGGGAAAATGATGTATTTATTGAGTGGACTGACATGATTCATTTGTTTGTAGTGTATGGGCGATCGTATAGTAACGACATTAAGCAAGCACTGTTGTGTGGATAGTAGGGTAGGACAGAAGATTTAGTTATTGCCGAACTCACCAGATTAGAAAAGTCTAGGAGCGTTATTTCAACCACGTCACGGTGACGGTAGCCAGGCGCATTAAAAAAAAAAAAAATACAGAAAGTGGAAATGTCACTCACTGCCAGGTTCTCGAGAGATAGGGGACAATTGCCGATCTGTTTTCTTGAAACTGCAATAGACGAGTGAGATTTTTTGGACGGCCGCAGAATATCAAAAGAAGTTAAGAAACTGCTTTAAAGGGTTGTTTCGAGGACATATACGTTAGTTCTAGAAAGCTATAAATTTTTAATGCTTTCTTACGACTTTCAAGTAGCAGTTTTTGAGCAACTACTTTTAAACTTGAAGGTTAAAAATGGTATTTTTTGTTGCCGATGGGACGGAAGTATAACTTGGTTTTGGCGAAACTTACTGTTTATGATGTTTTTTGTATTTGAAATGAAAGTGTTGATGTTTGTTAATGGAACTGTTTGAGGTGGTAAAAACGAGGGAGCAGTTTGACGCGGGAATCTGCGCAGTTTATAAAATTGCAGTAGTTGTACACTGTTTATTTGTTTTCAGCTTTTTTGCACGACTAGCTTAACGCATGAGTATTGCTTTACTGACTTTTGTTGCTATGAGTCATCGCAGTGACTTCTCCCAAACCGATAGTCTGCGTCTTTTCGTTTTTAAGTTCCCCTTTTTAAGTTTTAAATTTTAGCTCGTAGTTGTTTTTCTTTGTCCTGTATTTTTACAGTTATAAAGAAGTTTTTTTTTCTTCTCATTTTCCTTACTAATAGTAGTTTTGGTGTTGTATCTTGGTTTTTATTTTAAATTTTTTTAGTTAATTAGCTAATTAATGGATAGTTATTTGATGTGATCATCTGCTTCGTTTCTGATGTTTGGCAGCTAGATTTTCTGTTGTTCTAGTGTAGCGATTTGTTGACCGTCTTCATTGGCTTTATAACAGCTTTTTAATGAGGTTCTGTCACTTTTTTTAATGATTATTTTACGCTTGTAAATCTTGTTGAATTTGTAATTTATGAGCTATTTTGGTTGTAAATGATGAGAGAACTGGTTCTGCTGTCTGGTAATGCTTTGTAATTGTACATCCATTTTAATGTGATGAATATTCTGTCAGCTATCGCAGAACTGCTAGATACTTCTGCTTGGATGCACATAAGGAATCATGCGGAACACTTTCATTTGATTTGTTTATGGTCGGAAGTCGAAGTTGTAATATCGTAATGTTCATTTTATATTCAAAGTTTTGCAAATTATAAAAATACTATGACTGTGTTTTTCTTATTTTTTTTGACCGTACTTCAGTGGCATTTAATTTAATTTTTTTGTCTTTGATATGTAGTGTCTTTTTTTAAATGCAGTATTCTCTTTTATCGAGCATCCTAACTTTTTTATCTGTGACTACACTATGGGGTTATCTCCTGTTTGTTGTAGTTTTTTTCATCGTGACAAAGGAACCTCACTTCCTTGGCCATTGATTTTGTTTCGCTGAGAAGATTTGAGACAATGATAACTCTTATTACAACGCTCTTTAAACATTTTTTCAACTATGATTTCCATTTCTTTTTACAGCAATTTGGAGACTGACTTTCGTAAATTTAGGTTGGTTTCGGTTTAACGTCTGGTTCCACTGAGATTTAAAGCGGTTTTTTAATGTCGAAGAATCCTTTTGATGATGATTATGAGGATTATACTGGCGCTACTGCAACAAGTAGTGAGTTTCTTTGTTAGATTTCACTACAATTCTAATTGCTTTGCTAGTTTCTGAAATCTAGTGAATATCACTTTTACAAATGGTTTAATCAGTCTTCATAATTAAGGGCCTGTGAAAAAGTACACTACTGTTACTAGTACACCCGAGGATGACATTAATTACTATGAAAAGGAGATGGAAAGATATATGCAAGAGTCTTTGGACAGCACAGAAAGGTCAAGAAAACAGTTAGAGCAAAGCGAACAGATTGGAGTAGCGACGGCTCAGGTTATTATAAATCTTTTTGACTATGAAGTTGCATTAAGTTAAGTATGACTATAAGATAGCTAGATTTTAGATGTTTTCCTGAACATTTAAAGAAGTGAAAATGACTTTTAGCTTCTTACAGTATTGCGTCTCTTCTCTGTTTCGTTCTCCTTTTTTTCCGCGACATACGGGCTGGTTTCATCTAATTCAGTTGATGTTTTTGAAGTTGCTTTACAGGATCTATTGGCGCAACGTGAGAAATTAGAAAATGCGGAAAGGAATTTAGATGAGATTGAGCGGACAACGAGGATGACTCAACGAAATCTTAACAGTTTAAAGTCTTTCTTCGGTGGCTTCTTTAAAAATAAATTCTCACGAAGTTCGAAAGAACCTACTCCTGCGCAGGTTTATTTTACATTACTCTCTGTTAAAAGAAATATTTTTTGTCAAAATAATGGTCTGTTAGTGATGTGCTAATTTTCTTTCTGTGCTTTATTAAAGTAACAAATTTTTAAACCTTTTCGATTTGGTCCTTATATAGTGATTTTTTGGCAGGTCTCATCGTCTGCATCAGAAAGTAAGCTGAATAAAACAATAGGGAATTTGGACAGTAAACCATATACTGGTGGTGCCATTTCGCAGTCAGGTCCTTCATTAAGCGAAAGTTCTAGAGCCGCTATAAAAGGAACTAGATGGGAAGCAATGGACAACGAAATTGATGCAAATCTAGGCGAGACTTTAGTCTTATGCGAAGTCGAAGTCATTTATAGCACCTCTGTCTCATTTCTAAAAGCTTTTAAGGCAAAATTTATTTGTTGATGATCTGATGCGACTCATATTGCTAGTTTACATTCGGAATTCGTCAAGACTGCTATAATGCTAGTTTAATGGGTGACTTTGTACAATATATAGCTGTAGAGTATTTGGTTATTTGACTGCTTCTGCACTTTATTTACTACTCTTAGGCACAGATGTAAGGAGGGCTTGGGGAGCTCCTTTAGTTTGATGGTTCCAATGTCTTTTCAGCCAATAAAGCCAGTGAACAGTAGTCATTATATGTGTACTTTTGTTTCATTAAAACTAGTAGGAACGATAGGGCTACCAATTAAAACAGAGCCAGATTTAGTTATGCAGTTAACAACTTTTATTTTTACCTTTTTTATTTCATTTTTTTTTAAATTAGTGGTCAGTAAGTTTTTTTCTTATCACAGTACATGAGTCGAGAACTCAGTTTTGTTAGCGTAGTTACTTGTTTTTAGGCTCAGGCATTTATACTGCTGAGGTTTTTGAGAGAAAACAGTGATGAGCATTTTGGGAGCAGTTGGGGAGTTTATTTCTCGCCTTTCGCAAAAATGACTATCTAGAAAAAATTTAAGAGTTAAAAATAAAGACGCCTGTGTGTGTATGATCCCCTTTTTTGAGTCTGGTACTTAAAAAGCAAAAAAATTATGTTAAAATCAATTTGGCTAATAAATAGCTTTTCAATTTTCTTTCAGTTTTCAATTGAGGTCCACATACTTTTAGGGTTAGTATTGTCTCACGATGTTACTTGGTTACTAAACTTGTTGCCTTCGACAAGCACATAGACTTCGACATTTTAGGTTCTTATTGATAGAAGTCGTATTATCACTATTATACACACTGTTTTTTTTTTTTTTTTAATGGCTTTTACTGTTAGGGTTACAGTGAATTTGTTTTCTGGAAGTTTTAGATTCAATGAGTGCTCAACTCGCTCGACTTAACGAGTTAGGACGGGCTATAGGTACCGAAGTAGATTCGCAAAATGAAATGTTGGATCGGATTCAGATGAAGACTGAGCGGAACGAAGCACGTGTCAGAGATCAAGACACTCAGGTTGTTTATTTTATTGGTAACTTGATCTTTGCTTAAGCATTTACAGTAGTGAGATGGTTATAAATGATTTCCCCATTTTGTGTGGCTATGCAGTTCTGAATTTATTTCTTTGGGTTAACAGGTTGTTATTTGATATTGAAAAGCAAAGACGGGGACATTTAGGTTGCCCGATTGATTCTTTCGACGTTGCTCAGGCAGTTGTGCTCATAAGCTAGCGATAAATGTCTTTTTTTTGGCGGTGTTATGATCTAATTTTTATTTATTTTTAGATGAAGAGACTATTAGGTAATGTTGAAAAACAAGATGATAAAAGTTCAGTGATCCCGTCTGTGAACAAGGGCAAGTAAGTATTGTTAAGACTTAGTTTCTGGTTTTAATTTGCTTTCATTTTTCAGCAGTGACATTTTACTTGTTTCAGGATTATGATGAGTGCTGTGAAAGGGGCTTTTTGAGCGGTCTCAGCAGCATTTTCCATTTGTTTGGTAGAGTAATGTTTTTTGGTTTTATTTTTGTTTTTTCATTGTTTTAAACAAGGTATAACGGGGCCATGTATAAATGTCTTGCTGTTCACTTATGAGCAGTTTAAATAATGTTTGACAGTGTTTTTTAATGAGAATTATAACTTAACCAGTCTTATGAAAGGGAGGCTGGAATGATACAGGTTTTAAAAGAAAAACTGCAACTTAATTTTGTTTTTAGCTCAGTTAGGCGTGTCCTAAAGTTTATTTTATCGGTGACTTAATATTTGCTTGTATTTTTTGGAGTGTGCTGAACAGTATGGTTAACTACCTATTTCGAATGATTTTTTTCCTCAAATTGTCCGAAGTTCTTTCTTGGATGACTCAGGGCAATGTTCGCATGTTTGTATTTCGTTTCGGTCGTTGCTGTGATGATGCTAATTTGTTTCTTTATTCGAGCATATCTTTATATATGTGTTAATGTTACTGTAAGTATCGCCTTCATCAAAAATGTTCTAATTCAATAAATGAAATGAGATTTTATTAAGCAATCATGTAACCTATGGCGCGCAAAAGGATAAGTTTGCTTAATTATTGATTTAGTTAATTTGGCGTATTAGCACAGAACATTATAGTTTATAAATAAAAGTCAGTTTGCAGCCTGCAGATGATTTTCGCAAGTGTTGAAGTAGTCATGATTTCACTATCCTAAGTTGAAGACGATTTTTAAAGCAAATCTGCAGAAAAATAGTTTGAAAGATTTTAGTTTATTTATTTATTTATTTATTGTGATATATTCTATGGTTTTAGTGGAGAACAGAGCAATCAAAGTCAGTGACTTTATACACTTTCTTTCCAACGTTGTTTCAGTTGATACATTACTTTTTTTTAACATCTAAAGTCATCGCTTATTGGTGTAAATCCAGCGAAGATTTTGACGGGGTTGTTGTTAAGATGATGGCCAGTAAAAGTTATGCTAATAAAATCTTGTGTGAGTGTGTGTAAAATGAGGAGAAGAAGAAGAGAACGAACAAGAGGAAGAAAAAAGAAAAATGAGGGTTAAATCAATTTTTTATTTTTATTTTTTTTTTCGGAGAGGGAGGGGGGCGAGAGGACGGGGGCAAAAAGATTAGCGATGAAAAATTTGTCTCCGCCTTTGCAGTAATGTCATTTTAAATCTGTTTGTTTCATTGTAAAACGAAAACTTCAGGTCCAGTTTTGAGTTTTTTTACTTTCATATTCTAACACATTTTCCTTTTCGTAAGCAACTATTATTCTTACTCATTCTGCGGAAAAAATGGAAAGAAAGAAGAAAAAATGTAAAATTTTTCAAATGAAGAAATTGAAGAAGAAAATGAATATTGGAAGTCGCAGTTTTTCTCTTGTTTTGTCTGCTTGCTTTTTAAACGGTTTGGATTATTTCGTTTTGCTTATTTGTTTGTTTGTTTGTTGATCGTATTAGTCAAATTTAAATGTTTTTGCGCTTTTTAGTCGTTTTTAGTCATAAAGAAAAAAAAAGAGAGAAAAGGACGTTCTTTCACTTGCTGTTGGATTTGCTGAAGTTTTTTGATTGTTTGGCAATTTGTTGTTCAATTGAAAATGTTTGAATAAAAGGTGGAGAGGAAGATTGGAAAAGGAGCTCTGATGGAAAGGTTTTTTTTTTTTTTGAAAATACAATGAAAGAGGTCATGGAATAAAGGAAGGTGATGACAAAGCTTAATTTTGTCAACCCGTTATTTCTTGACCATTTTTCAGTACTTAGACTATTATATTATTATTAGCTGATTCCGAAAAATCTCAAAATTAATTTATTATTATTGTCTTATTATTATTATTATTATTATTATTATTATTATTATTATTTATTATTATTATTATTATTATTATTATTATTATTATTTTTCCTGCTTTTAGTAAGGCTGACATTGCTGTTATTTCTGTCCTTGCAAAGAATTTTTATTTTGTTATTTTCTACGCATTTAAAACCTGGTATTCGGTTTAAGTCTCATTCACAGGAAGTTATCATTTTTATAATAGTAATAATAGTAATAACATTGATAATAGCTGTAATAGTAGCAATAACAATAATGGTAATCATGATAAAATTAGTGGGAATAATAGAAATATTACAATTATATTAATATTAATAGCAACATTAATAATAGTAGTAACAGTGATAGCAATAATAATAATAATGATAATAACAATAACATAATAATAATAATAATAATAATAACAATAACAATAATAATAATAACAGTAATAAATATCGCTGTAAACATTAACGTTGTCATTGTTTTTGGTGTCTTCAATTCGTCATTATCAATATTTTGAGAACCAAAAGCAAAATTGCTTAACCTTTTAGTCTAAAATTATTGGGGATTTCTTTTA